ACACAAATAACTTTCTACTGAGGCTGGAACATGTTGAAGACAACAGTATGCATTGAGAAGCCAATTAAAAAAACAACCACTAAAAGTCACAACTTACCCAAAGTATCCAGGATCAGACATGTCACATAGCCAATAAACATTAGAGGAGTCATTTTCTTTAAATGGTTTTTCTTCACTGATAGAATCTCTTACTGTGCTCTACTTTCTAGAGACAAGGCTGGTTGTGACAAGCCAATCAGAATGGACTCAAGCCTCACATGATCATTGTCTGCTTTCAGTGTTAATGGTTAAAGGAAACGGACAGGGGGAAAGTTATTTCACTTTTTGGAGGGGAAATTTGACATTCCATGAAGCTATTTAAGACTCACAACATTTTCATATATATGGGATAAAGGTAAGTGATAGTCGAATTCCCTACATTGTAAATTAGGGGCATCAAAGGGGCCAAAATAAACAAAAAAAGTTGCTAGTCAAAGGCTGGACTTGTTCAATGTCTGTTGAAAACTTAATGAAATTACCTTTGAAAGAGTCTGGCACTAATAAAGCCTATATTATTCCTACAACAGACAACAATAATAAAACAACTTAAAACAATTTTTTAGTTCCCTTCATTTTATTTTGCTCTATTTTCAGGGTTTGTTGAGTAATTTTACGTAAAAACATTCTTCTACAGGCAAACAAGCACCACCAATAAAAAGAATCCTGAAGTTAAACTGCCACATACTTGGTGTCTCATCTTGGATACAACTTTATCAGCGTTTAGTGATGAAGTTCTCAGTATAGGACCTTCAGGTGGAGTGAAGGTGGTCAACAGTGAAACGACTCCAGTGGGACTTTCTGTTAACCTTCATGATAGAGAGCAATCGCTCTCACAAGCACATATTTCCAAACAAAAGGAGCATCAGAGCAGCTTGGATATTCAGATGGGGCATCATATCATGGATGAAACATGGAAACTATGCAACACCCACAAACTCATATTTTGCGTTCAGTGTGCCCCTACATTGGCGGTCAATCAAGTCATTGCAAAGATTTCATGTTGTATACTCCATGTCCACTGCAAATGGATTATCGAGCAGTTCAAGCCTGCTGTTTTGGGCTTTCAAATTGGTCAAATTGCCGTGTGAAGACAGCGCCAAGTGTGCCGAGTCTGGCATCAGGCAGGCTTTGTGGTGAACAGAACAGCAGAGCTTACTGGAAGGTTTTATTTAGACCAGGGGTGGGCAATCCTGGTCCTCGAGCGCCGGTGTCCTGCAACTCTTAGACGTCTCCCTGGTCCAACACACTTGAATCCAACAGCTGAACCACCTCCTAAGTGCAGTCAGGTTCTCCAGAGTCCTGCTAACGACTTCATTATTTGACTCAGGTGTGTTGAAGTAGAGACGCATCTAAAAGTTGCAGGAGACCGGCCCTCCAGGCCTGGAGTTGCCCACCCCTGACTTAGACCCTTGTCTTTTGAAAGGTGAAAAAATATATAAACATAAGAAAGTATTCACTTTTAGGTGACTGAAACAAAATGGCATGAAAATTTCACCAACAAGAAATTCTTATCATAAAATTTCACCCTCAATGGGTCCAGTATCCATTAACATCTGACTCTTGATGAATTATCAGTTCCACGTCTCAACACTGGAGAACATCTATTGGCATCTGGTAGTGTAATCCTTATTGTTTAATTTGAGAAATGTACAGAACAAAATATGTACTTTGTGATGCATGGACATTTTATTCATCTTAAGCTTTGCTGTTGGTGTGAATAGATGGTTCTGGATCTGCTTCACCATCAGTCAACTGTGTTGTTCTGGTTGCATTGCTCTGTAGCGTGTGCAGACTAAAAGCCTTTACTTCTGTCAGGCAGAGGCTTTTAGTCTGTATTTAGTCTGTACTTATAGACTAAATACAATCTGTATAACAGACTAAATCAGTGATACAGGTTTAGTCTAGAAAGTTGTGATCATATCAGTAGAGACGTAAAACTTAAAGACTCGCAGATAGTTTTTGATCTTTATTTGGAATTTATTGATATTAATAAAGACACAAGTTCAAAGGTTTGTACAAACATAGTGACAGAGGAGATGGAGTTACTTTGGCCATATCTAAAAGGTGAAGCTTAATTACAGCTAAATGAAAAGAAATATTTATGTTTTGGTCAAAAGCTTAACAGAGAGCTTCTACCGGAGACGTTAGTCTAACAACACAATGAAGCAACTTCAGTTCTGAGGTCCAACGGTGGAGTACACAACTTCATTGTTGGCGTCCCTCGTCCCTCTCGATCTGCTGAGTTTACTACTTCTTAAAGCAGCATAATGGAGATTTTCTGCGTCCTCATAATCCTGGATAAACAACAGAGTTAAGTCTTGAACAGCATAGATTTTATGCCAAATATTGTCTTGTACTATTGCTATATATGTGACTGCATAAATATGCCATAATTTATATATACTCTTTTCAACACATACAGGCCTAAATCTGACAATCAAACATGTCTGAGGACACTTTGTAATTCAGCAGCATGTCTATCACTTACCAGACCAAATTCTCAGTTTCAAAAAGATATATAAGATCTTTTCAACAAAAATACTCTCAGTTTTTATATCTGAGTTGCAATGTCTTCTAATAAATAAAGGTGGGGTTTAAATACCACAACTACTGTTGGAGTCCTCACCTTTTCCCTGTAAGTTTTGAAATAAAATTATAATTTCCCTAAAAAAAAGACATTAATAGCCTAGCCATATCTCATCTGAAACAGTCTACTACACCATAAATCCCAAGTTCAAACTTTTCTTTGAATGACCTGATGTTGAATTAATTTTTAAAGAACTGATTAAAATATTAAAAGGCTTACTATTTTATATTGTTTTAACTCTATTTCAGTGGGTGTCTTGAACTGCGGAATCAAAGATGTGTTGTATTGAGAATAAATAGTTCTGTGTTTTCCTTCTATCTCCGTTAGCTAGTTGCTAAGTTAATGCTAAACTAAAGCTAAAAGGAAATAACATCTTAGGAAACACCCTCAAAGCTAAATTACAGGATATGACAAACTATGTGACGCCCTCTTTGGGGCGTAGCTTAGACAGAGGCTAACAATGGGAGTGGGAAACTGTTCTGGGTGCCATTTTGTCTGTTAGCTCTCAAAGGTAGCTCTTTTGTATGCTTCCCAAATACATTTATGGTTTAAAGTAAAGAAAAGAGGTGTTTGTTTAGCATCCTCCAGCTGTTATAATTTCTGTCAGATTCTGCTGATCAGCCTGTGTCTCACAGTTGATGGATGATGGGTGATGATGTATCTCTGTTCTGTGTCGGCTACAGAGGGAGCAACTGCCTGCTTTGTACTTTTAGTTATGACTCTTTTAGGGGCCATAAGCTGACATGTGTTAGTCTGTTAGTAAAAAAATAATTTGGTTCCTCAGTATTTGAAACATCACCGGAGTCTTCCTCTCACCAGATCTTCATCTCTCTCCATGTACCTTGAAAGTATGTGAACTTGTGCCAGAAGCTTTTGGTACTCTTTTAAGGCACAATGTCACATTTATGTATTATAAATTCTATTTGGTTTTATGAAATATACCAATTTTTTTTATTGGTATATTGAAAAAATACCAGTAAAACATACTGCAAACATATTACTGTTTGAAGCATGTCACAAGCTTCCAAATTAACAGAAAAAAACATTATAATTCTATAAGTCATTAAAAATATAAAGTGTTACCAAAAAGGTATAATTATCATAATTTTATTGTCACGTATTTTGGTTTATCTTACTTTACATCGACCTCTATGATATGTAATTTAATTCAATTTCAAACCTGTTTCACTTAAAAAAATTTTGGTTATAACTATAAAAACAAAAGCATACCAGTTTTATAAGTATCTCTTCTTTAGTTTTTCCATCATGACATATTTTACGACCTACTATAAAATAGCATTTTGAACCTACAATTTAATGACAGATCATATAAAAATGTAACCTGGTGAATTACACTTAGAACATTAATATTGCTTTGATTTACTCTTTCTGCAGCCGTCTGGTATTCTGAACACACTGTAAAACATTTCACTGAGAAATAAAAAGGAAATAACAATGCTCACATCTGCATGTAGAGTTGAGGCTGCTGAGGATCTCTCTGGAGAGTCTGTGGCACAAATAAAAGCAAAAAAAAAAGGGTTGATATATTATCCACGGTATATTTGAGGATTTTTTTTAATTTAGTTTTATCCTCTGACAACCAAATGGTCGACAACCATTTGGTAATAAAATGTCATTACTAAAAACAGTTAGTTCAGTTTTTACTTCCATTTATTAAAAACTGGACTTGTTACTTCAATAGGATGTATCTATCAAGTTAAAAAAAAAAACATCAGAAACCAAACCACAATTAAAGTTAAAAGAAAAAAACATCAATAGATTAAAAAAGAAAAAAAAAGAAGAAGGAACACAATAATCTTTTACTGTTTGACAAATAATTTCTAAATTAGTCAAGCTTTACCTTTGCAGGTCTTGGTCTTGTGCAGTTTTTGAGCCAGAATTATCACCATGATGGTGCTGCATACTAAAGCTCCACTCAAGGCAAAGAGCAGGACGGGGGGGTCAGACTTTTCTGAAGAGAGACAGTGAGACATTTCAAACATCAGAGGACATTTTCACCACTTCTTGTGAAATGTAAGACAGTCCTTGCAAAAAGATTTGTTACTCTCATAGTCCAGATTCATCCCCTTTCCAAACAGAATGTGTCCACATGAGGCAACAGCACAGTGGTAGGTCCCGGCACTGGAGGCGTTCAGACTCTCTATGGTGAGGCTGTACACACAGCTGTGCGCCTGTGTGGTTGGCTTCTTACACTGGTCATCACTGGCTCCATTGGTGTAAATGATCTCTGGAAGGTGTTCTTCAGAGTTCCTGAACCAGAAAACTCTGTGTTCCCCATCACAGGTCCCACTTTGTACTGTACACTTCAGAGTCACAGAACCTCCAGGCTGGATGATCTCAGATCTGGACTGATCGACCAAGGTCCAAATGTTCAGATTTGATTCTTTTACATGGACTGTAATGCCCTCTAGAAATTTATACAGATATGTATCAATTCCTGCACAGTAGTAAGTAGCAGAGTCTGACATTTGCACATTGGAGATCCTCAAGTGGTTTTTATTTTTGCCTGTTTCCAGCTCAAATCGTGGATCATCGCGAAATTCACCTATAAGTGAACCATTTCTCTTATGTCTATAAAATTCTGACATCCTCTGTGGTTTCTGTACCAGAGTTTGTTTATACCAGTAGAAAGCCACTCCATCAGTGTCTTTATGGAAACACTTTAAAGTCATGCTGAAGCCAATGTTGACCGATTCAAAATTCAAAGACGGAGACGGTGTCTGAGCTTCCGAATGAGCTGAAAATGTATAAGAAACACACAAATAACTTTCTACTGAGGCTGGAACATGTTGAAGACAACAGTATGCATTGAGAAGCCAATAAAAAAATAAAACGCTAAAAGTCACAACTTACCCAAAGTATCCAGGATCAGACATGTCACATAGCCAATAAACATTAGAGGAGTCATTTTCTTTAAATGGTTTTGCTTCACTGATAGAATCTCTTAATGTGCTCTACTTTCTAGAGACAAGACTGGTTGTGACAAGCCAATCAGAATGGACTCAAGCCTCACATGATCACTGTCTGCTTTGAGTATTCATGGTTGAGACTTGGTCATCTCGATTTACAGAAGGTAAATGTTACATTCCATGTCCTTGGAAGTTATAAAAGACTCAGTAAATATATCGGGGATACCGTTACTTAATCATTTGTCACGGTAGATAAATGTCTTACATTGTAAATCAGGTTGTCAAACTCCAACACACAGAGGGCCAAATTTAAACAAAAAGGAACTAGTTGAGGACTGGACTGGTTCAATGTTTATTGAAGACTTACTGTGCATGCTGACCCTGGAACTAAATAAGTCTATGTCATGTAAAGCCATTTGTTTACTTGAGTAATTTTGAGTGAAAACATTTAAATTTACTCTACAGGCAAACAAGCAAAACATAATTCTTTATTCAAAGGAAAATCAAATGTCCTTTAATAGCAAGCTGAAAAAATCTAAAAGTCAAACTACCAGATAGTTGGTGTCTCATGGAAACAACTTGATCAATGTTTTGGGATTATGCTCTGAGTTGAGTAAATCTTCAGGTTGAGTGAAGGTGTTCATCGGTGAGACGCCTCCTTTGGAATGTTCTGTTACAGAGAGAATGACTGCTCACACGTCTATGTGTGACTAAACATAGGGAACGTTTGAGCAGGTTGGCATGGATGGGGCACTGTGTCGGGATGTAACATAGAAACTCTGCAGCACCCACAGACTCAGGTTTTCCTTTCAGTATGTGAAGCGAGTGAAGTCAGCGCAAAGTATGTCGAGCTTTTCACCAAACTGTGTACTTGTGAAGACGCCAGTACAGACCTGCTTCTTCTTAGTTTGGCAGCACAAGAAATGACTCGCAATTTCTCGCAGCATCTTTATCTCCCACAGGAGCAACTTGGTTTTAAAAACTCTTACTTTAGCCAAAAACATCAGTGTTGACATGGGCACACAGTGGTTCTTGTGGACGATCCAATAGTAAGCTGTTAGCACACCCATGAAGTTTTCCTTCAGCATCTTCTCCAGGGTCCTTCCCCACAATCCACCCATATAACCTTTGGTGAAATTTTGGATGTCCTCTTTTCCTAAGTCTCTTCCGAGGTGGCAGAGTTTGGCAGATGAAATCGAAGTATTTAAAAAAACAGTCCCCAGGAGTACTAAGAGTGGATCTGACTTATTCGAGGTTTCTAGTGGCTCTGTGCATTGTGGGTCTGTCATGGTTGAAATGACCCTGCATTGTAACACATTTCAAATTGGAATCAAGACTTATTGGACCAGGACCTTGTTCTCCACTTTATTTTCAAATTTTGATAAACAGCTTCTGGTGTTAAGCTAACAATGGTGGCACCAAGTATGGTCGTCTGCTGCTGTAACCTACCTGCTTCAGTGTTTCTTAGAGATGGTGTTTCGTCTACCATGATTGCAAATTTACACGAAAAGAAGAAAGAACCAGTCATTTGTGAAGGTACTTTTAAACACCCTCTCTGGTATCAGTGACTTCAAGTAATCTCTACCTTCTAGAGGTTATCAGTTTGTCCCATTTTTCCAGGTTTTCTGTTTTTCAGACTGGTAGGTGTTCACAGTCCTTCCAATGAATAACCACTCTCACTGCAGAACCATTAAATTACCTTCCAGTCCTTGGTAGATTGATAGACAATTAATCATTGCTGGTATCTTTTTCTACTGGACATAGTAGCACTTGGCTCATTTTCTTAAGTTTGACCCTCTGCACAGTCCCACTGGTCTCCAGATTTTTCATGTCCTCAAATGGGATTACGTTTTTATCTTTTTACCTGGTGGAAAGTAGCTAAATGGTTATATAGAAAGCACAATTTATCAATCACAGTAGGAAATTTTGATCATACTTTACTGGTAACTGCGCTGAAGTTATCTCATTTCTAATATCTGATTGACCACTAAATGCACTAAAAGGCAATTTTGAAGCATGTCAGAGAGCATCATCTACGATACTTCAAAATCTGAGCTGGAATATTCTATAATTATTACAGGTTCTTTGACAATGTCTTTAGTTGGTGAAACCTTTGTGCAAATAACAATATGGGATTATCCTCTTAAGAATTATTATTATCATTATTATTTTAATTGGGAGACAGAAAGAGAGCTTAACAACCAAAACTGATGTAAAGTCATACATGCTGCTACATCTTCATCAAGTTCAAAATGTCCTACAGTCACTCAACTTTTGTTGTTCCTGTTGTTTACAGCAAGTCCAGATTACACAGATATGGTTGACACTGGAAGCTCAAGGCCATGCAGTCTCTTCCGCTTTGGCAAGAACAACTATTTCCCCTGGTGGAAACTTTTGCTGACTAGGTCAAACCACCGTCACCACACGAGGGGACAGTAGACGGTAAGAGACAGTTGTGCACCAAAAGATCCAACCAATGCTCACAAACATATTTATAGAATGCAGGGGAATTTTTTTTCAAGGTGACTGCAGTGTCTATATCTGTGTTCAGTATTAATCTACATGCATGGGAATTCTGCTGATGGTTAGTTGGTGTAGAGTCAACCTGGACAAATGAATCTTGAGTGATAATGAACAAAGACTGAATCATATAGCCAGGAGGACCAGTAACTTATGTGTCATTACTGAAATCAATGGTCGTATTGGTGCGATTGTTCTGACTGGAACTTATTAGATACTTATTTGATACTTCTAACACAAGTTTAGTGCTAAAGAAGCTTTTTGTATAATGTGAAATGTCTTCAAGAGGAGAGGGTCCACTTGGCATTTATGATTAGAACTAGTGGCCATGGTTTGCTTTCAGAAACCAGCTTGTAGCCCTTACAGATGTTTTCAAAGAACAGAAAAAATGTCATTTGCTGTACCTTACCACAGGTGGAGTATCTGTTTATTGGATTCTTGTGATAGAAGATTATTCTGGAAGGATGTCACAAACCGTTTTCATTGAAAAAGTTTGATACCAACAAATAAGGCTGTTTTATATGGAGTGGAGAAACATGAGTCACATTTTTCTGTGTCACTATAGTCACATTATGCCGTAGTGATACAGAACTTTTATGTTAAGTTTTTATTCTTATTGTTTATAATAGATTTTTAGCTACATATCATATTCACACCTCCAAATACTTGCAACAAAAACCTAAACGCCATATTTTATTATCTTTATTTAATAACTTGCTGCAGTATGTGACTTATATATAAAAAAAATATTTTTCTACACATTTGTTGAAACTGTCATCTCACTACAGGTTGGTATGAGACATATAAGCTATGAAAAAAAAAGAATCAACCTCCTCTGCCTTCTTTCAGTGCTATTTAGAAACAACCAATCAGACACAAGAGGCGGGTCAAGGCGCTGTCAATCACCATCAGTCTGGCACTGCTCATTCCTCTGCTTATCCCCCCACCCCACCCCTTGCTCTCTGCAGCGCTGCAGCTAACAGAGACTGTTGTTAATGCTAAAGCTAGTTAGCATGGCCACTGATGTGGTGGTTAATTTGGTTTCCTGTAACAGTAAGCTGTTCCTCCTCCATTAGCACATTAAGCAACAAGAGCAATGGGATTGATTGATTGGTTGTTTTTACTGAATACTGGGGAGCGCTGCACTTCTTCAGATGGCAATAGTAGCTCAGGGAGGAGGTGGAGGATCTCGATTTTTTTCACAGATTATCTGTCTCATAAGGTACTGTCACAATATGGGGCAGTTCTAACATATATTTAAAAAACATGTTTGTTTTTTCATAAATGTTAAATACTGTAACTTTAAGACCTCTAAGTCAAGTTTAAGTACTAAAGTTATGTTCTATATTTCCCCTAGATATTGCATATGTTCATATCTTGCTCTCTATTGTCGTTTTATTGTGTTTCTGTATGTTCTTGGTTTGAAATGGTTATTTGGAAAAAGAAAAGAGAATACGAGAAGACATAGACCAGTCTTCATCTACTTCAAAATAAGAGCATCAACATAAATGGCTAACTACTTGAAGAAAACTTGACAACCAACATTTCAACACATATCAACATTTAAAGCGTTGCGGGCCTCACTTGCCTTAGTTGCAGTCAATGTTCATGATTTAACAGTAAAGAGACTGAGTTTCAAGGGGGGAAAAATCAGTCTGAAAGAGACAAAGTGTCTCAAAAAACATGATGTTCCCAAGAGCTTAAATGTAAATATATATAACATAATAAAATATTTTTTATTGATTGACTGGGAAAAGTTGGGTTTATTGGAAGGTAGACACTGTCTGTAATGAAAATGAAAGCATAAATCTTCCTAAAGTCACTTCAGCATCACCAGTTAATCAAGCATAAATAGGCACCTAAAAGTGAATAACCACATTTCTTTTCTACTTAATCGGATGGTTTGGGTTGTTTTTCATAGAGAACACAATATCACAATCTATGTTGACGTGATCAGACTAACAAAATAAAGAAAATAGCTCTCAATGTATAATAAAAGCAAAAACATTTTCAAGGATTACAAAAAGCAAATTTGGACACGACGTCTTTTGGGTGGTGGTTGGAATTTCCTTCACATAGTTTTGAAATCTCTTTAGCTGTTCTTTAAAACAATGCATGCAAACAAACAAACTCAGAGAGATGTTTGATACTCACAGATTTCATAAAGAAGAAGAAGAAAAGCCGGAAAGCCGGATCGTCACTGAACCTCTTCTCTATTTGCCGTTCATATTCACAAACGCACAGAACTCTTTAAATGAGACAAAGGCTGCTTGTGATTGGCTAAGCTGGAAGGTTTGGTTAAAATGCGTCGCTTGACGCCTTTGACTGTCCAAATGATCTGATTATGTGACAGAGGGGGTTGCAGTGGGTTAGGTTCAGCCCTTTCAGTGGCATCATCTTTTTCTTTTTTCGCAATGAAGGACAGCAAGCACTATGATATGCACACATGAGAATAACTTGGTCTTAAAGTGGACAAGATATGTCAGCTTTTTTGCAAGTAAAATATCCAGAGAACTCAAAAAATGAAACATGTTATGTGACATTTGTCTGAGTAATTTAAGATAATTTTGAGATTATTTTGTGCTTAGAAGCTGTAGTAAAGACAATATTAAAGTTGTATGTAGCAAACAGACAGTACTGTAGTTCTAATATACTCTGGCTGGTCAAAAAAAAAACTTACCACCAAACTAAAGGTAACACTTATATTGGATAAGCCTCTGCAATGTTACCAGATTTATTCATTTTTCACCAAGGTTTTGTACTGAGGATGAGAGAGTCCTATCAATGTGCAACGCCTTCTCCTTCCCATCCCAGAGATTCTCCGTGGAGTTAAGGTTTGGACTCTTTGGGGGCAGTGCAGGTGTGAAAATGATGTTCCATACTCTCTGAACAACTCGGTCACAATTTGAGTCTGATGAATCCTGGCTTTGTCATCTGGGAACATGATGAGATAACCTGGTCATTCATTATTTAAGTCATCAGCGGAAGCCATTATCCATCCATCCATCAATTTTCTTACACCCTTATCCCATTGGGGTTATGAGGGGTGTTGGTACCTATCTCCAGCAGTCAACAGGTGAGAGCCGGGGTCACCCTGGACAGGTCGGCAGTCCATCTTATGGGTGCACAGAGGTTCACTTCCCTCTTCATTTTGCATGTGGAAATGCTTTTGTTGATATTTGATTTCACCAAATATCTAAGTGATCGCCAATCATGAACATTCAGGGTTTTTTTTTTTTTCCATCCACACTACTTCTTCAAAGTCAACGGTTCTCCACTTTCCATCCAGACATTAATAATCCGCTGGACAGTTCTTGATCCAGATTTAGTAGTTTATCTGGTTTGACCAGTGCCAGTGATTTGACCACTCTTAAACAGACACACATCCTTTACAGGACAAGGTGATGTGTCTTTAGACATGTAGGTTGAAGAAATGAGAAGCTACGTATTGCATTAGTTTGGGTTCAATAACTTGTTGCCAACTGCATAACGATCCTTGTGCCTGTTTGCTTAGTTCAATCCATATGATGAGTTTTATTGGCCTGGAAACGCAAAATACTGCATGTAAGAAATCACATAGACATGTTTTAGCATGTGGTGATTGTTTCCATCGTCATCATCATCCAAATCAAGAGATTATAAAGATCAAAATATTCAATAATTTTTATTAGACTGAAAACAATCACCAAAAGTGGTTTGGTCTAAAACCAAAATGGAATCAGAGTCACAAACGGTGCTTTGGATAAACGTGTATTCTTTAAATGTACTTTATAAATAAAATGGATAGATTGGATAAATAAAGTGCAACAGTTCTTGGTTTACAAAATAAAAGTCAGTTGGAAGTAACAGCAAGGCGTCGGTATGACATGGTGGCACAATCTGACAAGCTTTTTCTGCAAATTACCGTATCCGTTTTGTCTTATAAGATAATATAAGAGGAAACACAAACCGGTCAGCTAAAGCCTTGAA